CGGAAATCATGCATGTGTGTGATGTGTCGCTACCGCGCCAGCTCCTTCCTTTTTGCCGAAGAGGTACCTGAAACAAGACTGAAAACTGTAAGCACGAAGGTTAGTGAGTTCCCCCATCATACCGCATATAATACAATCACATGCATACATACTGTCGAGCAATTCTGGGGTGCCCGACCTACCCGGTCCGGCCATTCTGGGGTGCCGACCTACCCATGTCAAGCCGTTCTGGGGTGCTGACCAACCCATGTCAAGCCGTTCTGGGGTGCTGACCAACCCATGTCAAGCCATTCTGGTGTGCTGACCTACCCTTCGGTCCTAACAACCGAAATACGAGGACTGTTTCACCTCCTACTACTACCACATAATATCATATCACATAAACATATTGTCAGGCATATCTGGGGTGCCCGACCTACCCTTCGGTCCTAACAACCGAACTGGGGGGCTAATCCCCTCCTACTACCTCTATCACATATAACATATCTTGCTAGAACATACTCACATCAGGTAGTAGCAAACCTAGATGAATATCACGGAGACAATCATCTAACAAACAACTCCTACTAGTGGGTCGGCATTGTGGCCGTAGACCCACTTCTATTGGAAGGTAACTCACATCAATGCCGCGTAGTGTCTGCACTGATCTCGATGTGGAAATCGACTCTCCTCGACTCCTCAATCCCTACACGACAACTCTTCCAAGTTATCAACTCATACTCATACTCGTAACCCTTACAAGGGTCACGCAATCCTAGTCAATGTCAAAGCCATACCCATGATCAAAGTCAACTTTTTGTCAAAGTCAACATATGGTTGATTCGACTCGCCGAGTTGGCCCGCCAACTCGCCGAGTCCTCATGACCACACAATGCCATAATGTCGTCCTTACCCGTCGAGTCTAGCAAGAGCTCGACGAGTTCGCCTTCAACAACACATCGGACAATCTTCAACCGACTCGCCGAGTTCGTTCTTGAACTCGCCGAGTTCATCTTCATCCATAAGAAGATGTTCAGTCTATGACTCGCCGAGTTCCTCTTGAACTCGCCGAGTCCGTCTTCATAAGTTGGGAGATTGCCTTGGACTCGCCGAGTCTGTTCATACACTCGTCGAGTCCCAATATATCCAGGTCCAAGACAAACCCCTAGCAGGCTGAGTGTTCCTTCCATTCAACCAAAACCATTTACAGAAGACATTCTGGGTGGGAAAACGTCCCGACTCGCCGAGTCACCCAAGTGACTCGCCGAGTCCCTCTTGTCCAAAACTATACAGTCGATTTCAATGGGACTTAATGCATCCCAATCATAGATCTGACCTCCTATGGTCCCTTTTATACGTAAAGCTACAAACTTGATGTCCATGCGTGGGGTTTTTGGCTCAAAAGGCTATAAAATGGGGTTTATATGATGCATGGGTCTCCCATTCCATAGAGTTTCCACCTTTATGCCATGGGAACCCTCAATGTTTCCAGATCTGAAGCACAAACCCGCATAGCCAAGCAAATCTGAGCATAGCCTCTCAAAAGCTTAGAAAAGGTAGAGAAATAGCCCCAAAACAAGATCTAGGAAATAGATGGTCAAGGTTCAAGCTTTTTACCTTGAATGGACTGAGAATGAAGCAAAACCTTGGGATCTACTAGCTTCCTCTTGATCTCCTAAGCTCTCTTCTTCTCCTTCAACTTCAAACACACACAAAAGGCACAAAAGAGCTCAAAATCACTCAAAAATGGTATAGGGTTTCAATCTAGGGTTTCTCTGAGTTGGGAGGGTGATGGAGGCTGGGTTGGGACGAGATAAAGTGTTTAAATAGGGTGCAAACCATAAATATTAGGGTTTTGTCCAGACAGCTCCTACTCGTCGAGTCGGTCTTCCGACTCGTCGAGTAGGTCACTTAAACCCCCGATCATAAGTCGAGTCTACTCGACGAGTTGGGCCACCAGGAGTAAATTGCAATATTTCTTGAAATTAAATACGTACCAGGAATCGGGTGCTACAATAATCCACATTTCAATCTTCAAAATCCTTTACTTTTCTCTCAAAACACATACAAACATCTTCAAACGTTGTTTAGAACACATTCAAACATTTCTAGAAGCACATTCAAACATTCCCAAGAAACAAATCCTTCACTTGATTCTTAGGAATCTTAGTAAGTATTTCATATATATAATTTAGTGTTTTTATAAACACTTTCATACTATTTCGACTAATTTACACACATTATTATGTGTTAAATACTATTAGGATTACGACCACTTTCAAGTATTCTAACTTGAAGATTATCACTTTCGCTTCGTTATCCAGTCAAGAACACATGCGAGGTGAGTTCATACCCCTACAGTTTTCATGATTTTTCTATGTTTTAGGGGGGGATACAAGTAAAACACAAGATAATTTGTGTTATTATACAAACCGTTATATTTGTTGTTTTCATAAAATATAATATAATATTATATATATATATATATATATATATATATATATATATATATATATTAGGTACAAATTTGATTACAATGATAAACTATATAAATATAGTTTATAAAACTATAACCCTTTTGTAACATGTTGAGCAAAAGGGTATAATTATATAAAAATAAATATATAATTATTTCAATTCAGTTTATTATCATTGTAAAAATGATAATGTATATACAAATGATTCATCATTTCAAATGAAACATTTTTATAAACTATAATAGGTATAGTTTATGAGACATACACAATATTTGACCATTTCAAGATACAGTACAAAAATAATTATTTAAAGGCATAATTATTTTATACCATGTGAACACTATAAAAAGATAATACATACATTCACAAGAAAAGGAGTTTTCATCATACTACACGTAAACAGTCAAATATGGTTTTGTGAGACACGTCTTCAAGTACTTATCTAAGTACCAACAAAAGTCATGTATTATAACCAGAATCTCTCGTAAGAGAGCGTGATATTTGTGTATACATCTATACGGGACTGACAATTCTGCACCTAAACTGTTAGCTACAGTTGGACCGGCATGTCTGGGGTGACAAATGTCGTACCATTCTGACGCCTGAAGAACGTCGTACACGCCATCTAGGTCATTAACATGGTTATAATAACTCACAAAGGGTATTAACAATACGTTTGGGTTTACGAATACATATATATCTTCAAATGGTTTTATTCAGATAAAACTACATTACACTATTTCCCAATACAATACAATTTACATTTCTGGAAACATGAATTCAAATGGTTTTATAAAGATATAAAACTACATTACACCACTTCAGAGTACAATAATACTTATACATTTTCAGTCTTAGGGTATTTAAGACCACATTACATTTAAAAGAAAATATTAGATTTTCTGGAAGAACACACTATCATTTTCAAGGAACAAAGACATATCTTTCTCATACAAAATGCTTATGAACTCACCAACTTAAATGTTGATATTTTTTCAAACCCACTTGTATTCTCAGAAAATCAGTAGACAAGGTATCCACACAGGTTTTGTGAAGACGGGGCTTAGCATTGTTATGTCTTATATTTTTGTCGTATGCTTTTGGAGTCAAACAATGATTCGAACTCAATGTAAATATTAAATTATCAATACGATGGTTGTAATGTTTTGATCTCTATTATTCAACTGTTATGATACTATACATGAAAGTCATCCATCCCTAGACGTTTCCGCCGTTTTAACTCGGTTTGGGGGTGTGACAGTTATCATGACAATTTGGTGGGTTCTACAGAACTTTCGTAAATCTCTCATCATTAGCTTGAACAGACTTCGAAAAGAAACTATTTATGATGTGATTGTTGAATTTTCCTTTAGATGGTATGTTAGTAGAAAACGCAAACCCATGGTCAACTAGGTTAGTTGGTTACAAAATCCAATTTTGATCAAAAACTATTTTTTTTCTAGCATCTCATTGTATAAAGTTTGAAACGTTGGATAAAAACTCGTATTTGGGTTCGTCTCATATATAAATTTTTTTTTTATTATTTAATGAGAGAATTTCATATATATCCTTCTTAAACATCAAAATATCATGTTTGTCCAACTTAATTTTTAAATATCATATTTACCCTTCATAAAAATTTAAAATATCGTATATGCTCTTCTTAAATATCAAAATATCATATACATCATTCTAAAATATCAAAATATCATATATGTCATTCTTAAACATTTAAATCTCAATGGTAATATCTAGAATATCATTCATCTACAACATACAATATTCAACGACAAAAACTAAGCAATTAATACAAAAATTTCATGGAGATGGCTGAAGATGAAACGTTTAATTTGTCAAGAGAGCGATATTCCAACAATTTAGAAATAGAAGTTCTATTATTATAATAATAGAATTATAAAAAAAGATTATAATAATACTAAGATATAAAAAATAATTATAAACTATATTAAAAACATTGTAAAAAAAGATTTAGACAAATATGATATTTTGAAGATTTATAAAGGATAAATATGATATTTTGATGTTTAAAAATATATATAAAATTATTTTTTATTTAGTCGTTTAGTAGTCGACAATTGATGTTTAGAATATATATATATATATATATATATATATATATATATATATATATGAAATTATTCTTTATTTGGTCGACAGTCGTGACTGTTAGCATTAATTTATTTGCAGAGTGGAGATGTGATCAGTGAAGATGTGATTGAATCTTTTTGTAGGGTTTTGAGAAAGCCAACACTTTCCTAATAAGGATGCTAATAGTAACCACTTGTAATTAAAAAAATAAAACAGACAAACATAAAATTATATTTCACAAATTGCATGAATATAATGTTCCATCAACTCGCCGAACATAAACTATAAATTATTGATTAAACGAATAAAAAATAAAATTGTCCCCCTCAATTATTATTAGCATCATTTGTATGTTTTAAATTGAACATTATTGTATTTAGTCGATCAAAGGTGGATGAACACGATGTAAAAACCAAAAGAGATTACACGAACATATACTAGTATCACAAGCTTACCAAAATACTTTACAAATTACAACCATGGTATTAAATCACACAAATACTTGTTTTCATGCTAAATCATATCCAGCCTTCGAAATGAAGGGCAAAAAACAATACATAATTAAGTCTAAAAAAAAACATGAATAAAGAAAGCATTTGAAAGCAAAACACGAAAAAACATTCTTTCTTTATGAAACAACTTTCTCATAAGTCATATACGAAGAACGACATGCTACAAGCTACAAGTACTTGGATCCGTTCAAGTTACATATGAAATGACATCATCTACCCTTCAATCTTCATTGCTACCCTCCCCACCATGTCTGAATTCATCAAAAAAAAAAATACTTTCAACAACTTTTACCTATAAACCGGTTTATGCCATGCATTTATAATGATGATGTGGCATTTTATTAAGAAAAAAAAAAAGGAAACGTACTTTGGTGGCCACATTTCTATTCTTTGTAGTGTACTTTCAAAAAACTTTGTTCCATTTTATACACAATAACAAGTATCATACTAAAAAGGTAAAAAAAAAAAAAAATTTAACTGAAGTGGTGAAAGTACATTGTGTTTTTTCTGATAAAAAACTGGCCACAGTAGGTTACCTTTGTATGCAATTTTCCCAAAATAAAAAAATAAAATGAAGAAAGGAAGACAAACCGCCAAGAGGTGGTCAAATTTCGAGCCTTTCTATCCAACTGAAGATTTTCCAAGGCAATGGAGGCCCGATTAATATCCTCTGAGGTATCATCATTTTCATATCTCCAATTGTAATCATCTTTCTTGTAGCTAGAGTTTGAAGACCCTCCACCTCTTCGGTCTGAATAATAATCACAAGGCTATTTCAGTCATTTTAACCAGACAAGACACATATGTTATGAGAATTGAATTCCATCTTGAAATCCCACGGAATCCAAACGCCCCATTAAGGAATAGTAATGCTTACCAGATGCCTGGGAACCAGAACCTTGTCTACAATACAAAAAAAAATATATATATATATATATATATATATATATATTTGTTAGTAAGAATAATAATAAGATAGAATAAGATGATAAGGTAAATGTAAAAAAAGTTAATAATGAATCACCTTCCCAGAGGAGCTAATCCCCCAATAACAGATGATGAAGAAGGTCTACGGTTTCTGGAATCGGAATCCTGCTCCGGAATCATTGATCTCCTTCCGCTACCTCTTCCTTGAGATTGATTCTGCAACCAAGTAAGTATAATAATAAGATATTGTTTCTTTTTGACTTAATGGGGTAAGTTATTTATTTATTTATTTATTTATATATGATTGTTTCTTTAGAGGAAAGAGTATGAAACCTCAAATTTCAAGAACCCTTCAAGTACATCCAACAGCAATGGACCACTATCTCCATTCCTGTTTATGTCATATCCATTCTTGTTACTGAAATCTCGTAACTCGGTTTTCCATGCGTCCTTTTGCTGCAAAAAGAAAGAAATGTGAATGTGACTGAACAAAACTACAGAGATTCATGAATATGGAAGTTTTTATGAAACCAAATGATTACCAAATTACACTCTGGTAAATAAACTTTTAGTGTGTGGCCAAGCTGCGCCCAATCCAAGTATTCACATATTAGTGCAGTTAGAAGCCGACCTGAAATCATATTAAAAGTTTAAAAACAAACATCATGCTCTAACGATTTAAATGCCAAACAAAATATCTAAAATACACATCAAGAATGGTAACCAAAGGGTAAAAAGGTAAGTTTGATATTGCAACTTTGCCAAAAAGGGAATTGTTTGATCGATTTTACGACATCTGGTAAAGGAAAGTATTGCATGTGTTTTGGAACTGAGTAGTTTAATGTAGATTATATATGTCAAGTGGATCTTGATACTAAAGCAGTTTATACCCATGAGAATGATAGAAAGTTACATGCTGTTTTTTTTACTTGATGTATTTAATGGGGGCGTGACTTAATGCAGAAAGAACAAATTAATAGAGAGAGTTAGGGAAATGAGGCTTTCCCCATTAAGTCCTAACTTTCTACAAATTTGGCCTCATTATTTTTTCCCCCAAGTGTGCTATTATTTCTGAAATAGGTTTTATACATCATTTATGCGGACAACATTTTATCTAAACAGCACTTAGTGGAAAAGAAAAGTAAAAAGCAGAACCTTAGAAACCCTAATAACTAAGAAACATGAGAACATAACTCTGATGATGGAAGTTTAGAAGATACCTGAAGGGGAAGCATGTAGTTGTTTTGCACGATCATTGCAGCTACCCAACAGTGCAGGAGGTAGGCCCTCATCTTGTTCAATTGCCTTATCCTCTTCCTCTATTGCCTCAAATACACTTGCTCTCAGCTCAGCCTTTCACCAATACAAAAATGTATCAGACATACCATTATCGAATTGGTCAAAAAAAGAAATATCTTTGTAGTTTGAATAGATTCCTACTTGAGAAATTAGGTTAGATACTTTTACAGATCCTCTCTAAACACATAGTAAATCAAACATAGTTTTCATCCAATAAACAAAAGAGAATCGTTTCGCTAAACAAATCCTCCATTTGAAGCTCAAAACTCTTGACCGAACCTAATGGGAAAGTAGTTAACAATGAACCTGAATACTTGCTGTTTTCTATATAACTATTCAATAAATGTTGAAGTTTGAAAGATAATGAACAGCAATATCCGTGTCCAACAGACAATATTAGTCTTAATAGCTTGAAATTTTGAACTACTTCACAATGAAAGATCCCATCACTAGCAAACTAAAGAAAACAAAACTAAGATCACAAGCCTGATTATCACCTAAGACACTCATGAACACAGAAGGAAACATTAACATTTTCGTCGATCACCTCAAAATCAAACATATACACGATATACAATTCATAAAACCCACCCGATCCAACAACCCTATGCGCCCCATTATAAGCGCAAAAACATTTTGAACCAATTCGTCAAATACCAATATAATTGCAACTCTATAAAGAAATTTAACCGAAATCCAAACGAATTGAAGAATAGAAAGAATTTAAAGGGAGATGTGTTTTACTCGGATCTTAGCGAGAACCCCTTTTTTTTCTAGGGTTCGAGTGACAAGGGTCTTCAGGTCCATCATTTCTCTAGTATAATCATCCATCTTACAGAGGTTGTCGTGTCGCTGTTCGTCTTCTTCAGTCCTCGGAAGGAAACTTGATTTTGGGGTTGTTTTGAATTCTTTTTCGACTGTTTTTGTGGTAATTCGGGTATGCAACTGCAAGACGTGAACCGATTGTTCGAAGTTGAAACGGGTTGTCAATTTCGGGGATATGGAGTCGATATTTGCAAAAAGCCAAAAACAAAAAGGGAAATATGACTTATTAAGGTAATTAACTTTTCGGTAAGTTCATATCTGGGTAATTATTTTTTTTTTTGTACACATCTAGGTAACAAACTTGTTGGAAGTGTTCACATATGACCATTATGACCTGCTATAGCAGGTTAAATCCTAGATGTGAACGCTTTCAACAAGTTCATTATCTAGATGTGTATAAAAAAAATAGTTACTCAAATATGAATAAAACGAAAAGTAAAAATTAAATTACATGAATGGTCCCTGTGGTTGGGGGAATTTGCGTTTTGGGTCCCTAACTTATTTTTTTAACTAGGATGGTCCCTATTGTTTATTTTTGTTGCGTGTTTAGTCACTGTCTTACCTAAAAAGACTATTGTGCCCTTATTAATTTATTTTTTAATTAATTTTCTTATTTATGCATTTATTTTTTACATATTTAAAAAAATTAATAGACCCCACATATTTGTATCTCCTCGGATGATCCATACTGTTTATTTTTTAATTAATTTATTTTTTTAACTCGGATGGTCCCTACTATTTATTTTTGTTACGCGTTTAGTCCCTGTCTTACCTAAAAAGACTATCAAACGACCCCTAAGATTACCTAAAAGTAAAAATTAAATTACACAAATGATATGTGGGGTATATTAATTTTTTAAATATATAAAAAATAAATACATAAATAAGAAAATTAATTAAAAAATAAATTAATAAGGGCAAAATTGTCTTTTTAGGTAAGACAGGGACCAAACGCGCAACAAAAATAAACAGTAGGGACCATCCAAGTTAAAAAAAATAAGTTAGGGCCAAAACACAAATTCCCCCAACCACAGGGACCATTCGTGTAATTTAATTTTTACTTTTTGTTTTGTTCATATTTGGGTAACTATTTTTTTTTGTACACATCTAGGTAACAAACTTGTTGAAAGCGTTCACATCTAGGATTTTACCTGCTATAGCAGGTCATAATAGTCATATGTGAATACTTCCAACAAGTTTGTTACCTAGATGTGTACAAAAAAAAGATAGTTACCCAGATGTGAACATACCGAAAAGTTAATTACCTTAATAAGTCATATTCCCAAACAACAATTATTTAAATTGCTATTTTAGATTTCAATAAATGATATAATATATACTTTTTTTACACCAAATACTTTTAAAAAATTCACACCAACGCACTGAAATCTAAAATGACTATTTTAGATTCCAAAAAATATTTTCAATCTCTTTTATTAACGGTTAACACGATGTGAAAATTAAATATATAAGATTATGACTCCTTCTGACCTGATTCGAAAAAGATGATGTTCTGGTAATTCAATGTTGGTTAGATCATTGATGCATCCCGATCATATATGCTTAAAAAATCCATTTCAAATCCATCGTTTGGAAAAATAAAAGAAAATAATAAATAGGAACAAAACCATAATTTTAAATAGGTTATAAATCAAAACAAAAATAAAATATATGCCACCTTTCGTAATGAAAAACAAAAAGATATGTCACCTATCATAATGAAAATTTTCTCTTTCGCTTTTATTAAAATCCAAATATCCAAATTTTGATTAAAGCATAATAAGAAAGTTTATAGATTAACCCTAAGATATAGGCCCTCATATGTGGTTGTAAAAGAAACAAACCCCAAAAATAAAGATGCATATAAATACTAGACTTGGTACACATAAGGTGTCATGTTGAATTCTTTATCTTGAAATATAAATGAGTCGAAAGATCTTAACATTAACCTTGTTTATTTAATTTATATGTTGTATCATGTCAACTTGTTACTTAAACAGACTTATATCTCTCCCCCAACCATGGCCGGTGGTAAACGGGGGCAAGAAGGGCTTGTGCACAGGGCCTATTTTTCTCAGGGGCCCATTTTTTTTTAATACTGAATTTAGCTTTCAGCCCAGATGAGAAGTCAGTCAGTCATGCCAATCCTCTAACCGATGAGTCGTAGTCCACAATCGAAGGCAACATGAGGCAACAATCATTCAACGAGTCTCGATTAATCGATTACGGAAACGGGAAATCACTAAATCGTCTACTCCTGCAGACAGTGCTAATCAGGTAATTGTCTAATCAATCATTCATGTATTTATGTTAATATGTTATCAAAATTCAGAGATATCCATGGAAGAATTGTTGGAAGTGTCTAGTTTATCTGTTTACGGATTCTGACAGAAAGAATTTGAAGGAATTGAGTTCTATGACTACAGTTTGGCTGCCAATCAACGAAATTCAATTCCCTCATAATCATTCAACTTTCACTCTAGGTTATGTGGAAGGAATTTAGTATTTCAGTTTTATTCTTCTTTTTATATTAAAAGACCAAAATACCTTATTATATATTTATACTAAAGAATTTATTTAAATATATAATAATTGTTGATTTATATTCTATTTCCAAGCCAACAAACTGACATATTACAATTCCAAATCATTTGATAGATTAACGTGATTAAATTTCATTATGTTTTTTACCAAACAAAGCCATGACAAATTATAGTTCCTTCAAAATTCCAATTCAATGGAGAGAATCCATTCCTCCAAAAACATTTGCATCTGCTGCAAGTGGGGACAACCTAAAATTTTACATGTTTATTATAGAAGACCTAGAGGGGTAGAAATGAATAAATACAGAAAAACAATTCAAGTATTTTCTTCATGATTGCAATTGGCTCCTTAGTATTTAATCTTATGATTGTAAAATTCATTTACACCATTTTTTATTGCATTCTATTCATCACATCACAGTGTAATTTATTCTATTCACTAATTTGCATTCTCTCATACAAGGAATGCTAGGAGAGTTGATCACTAGTTCATTAATTTGTCATTTATTCTATTCACGTTAAGGCCTAAGGGTCTTTTTTTTCCGTCTCGTCCTAGGCATTTGAATCATCAGGACCGGCCCTGCCCCCAACCATTTTGTTTTGTGTCGGGATTAGGGTTTAGACGTTATAAACGTTTAATGCTATGTTGGGTTGAAGCACTAAACGAGTTGAAAAAGTTTGACTATAATCTTACCCTTTAATTTTCATATTGAGTGGTGTCAACTCGTTTACTTAAACGAGTTGTGGTCTCTTACCCAACCCGATTATTTCAATTCGAGTATGTGCTTAGTTAAGAGGTTTAGGATTTAGACCTCATAAACATGTTATGTCATGTCGTCTTGAAACACTAAACGCGTTGAACAAACTTGACCATAAACTTACTCGTTTATTTTTTTGTGTCGTGTCAACCCATTTACTTAAACATGTTTATTTTTTGTCGAGTTTGTATTAGGTGTAGGGTTTAAAAATTACAAACATGTTGTATCATAATGCGTTCAAATACAAACATCATATCGGGTTGAAACACTAAACAAGTTGAAAGAACTTGACCTCTAACCTTACCCATATAATTGTGTAAGGTGTTGTGTTAACTTATTTATTTGAATGGGTAGAGTTTTAGAAGTCTCTTAACTAACCCGTTTATTTTATGTCATATTCGTGTGATTAGTGGGCCTTGACAAAAAATTTCGACCTCTAATACATATGACCCATTTTAATGCGATTTTCATTTAATATATTGCCCAAAAATTAAGGTTTCATTTGTTCAAGTAGACTCTTAAGGGTCATTTTCAATGCACCAGCCACCAAGCAAAGTAGCAAACCCATATTCTATACCATTTTTTTTATAAGTTGTTATATTTTATGTAAAGGCAAAAAAAAAATGAATTTCATGTATTTTATTTGATCTAAATAAGCCATAAATACATAGATTTTCATGGAAAGTGAAAAACATTTGATCAAGTGGTTATCAACTTATCATCCATTTTTTGTTGCAAAATCAGCAATTTATTAAAACGATATTCAAATTTGAGATTCAAATGTGAACCGCATACGTTTTCCGTCTTTTAAATAAGTTTAGCTTCTGTTTCACATTATCATTAATCATCGAATGTTAGAACCGAAGTGGTGTTACTTTAAATTTAATACTCAATATAAAGTGTGAAAATTGATAAAGAAACATTATATTGGTTATAGAATTTTAGATTGGCTAACCGGGTGAAAATGATTATTTTTGTATCAGTCGAGATGAATTGATCTAAGACATCTCTTGTACATTGTCTTGGACATCTCTTGTACATTGTCTTTACCTTTCTTATGTATGATACTATGATTGGTACAATATTAAATACGATTCTAAAAACTATATTTATAATTTTAAAACAAAAGAATATACTTTTCATCATCCACTGTGATCAAGAAATATAACCCATAACAAACAAATTTATTTAGATATGCAAACCACACAATTATAAAGAAAAATATAGTGTGAATAACGAGAAGAATGCATGATGAATCAAGATCAGGATCAAGAAAAACAGCTACAACATGAAGATCTTGGTTTTTTCATAGTAGTCGACAACCCTGTAACACCCTTCACTTCCTTCTTTAACTACTGACAAATTTTGGCTTTCACCTCTCCTCTTTTTGGAATAAGCCTCATTGTTGTTCTCGTCTTTTCCATTTTTCTCCGTTGATCTTCCATTGTTGGAATGCCAAAGAAAATGAATAGAGACAAAAACACTTTGTTTAATACGCTAAAATAAAATCCTTTTTTCTGTTTATCGTTAGATCAAAACGTTATGTTTCTGTGTCTGAGAAACAATACGTTTTATTTTGCAAGAAAGTGAAGTGAGGAACAAGAGCAAGTTGAGAAAGGCGTGTCCTCTTGATAGGATTTATAAAGACTATAGTCATCGAATTCACACATTCTTAATGTGTGTGAACATGATTTGGGCATTAAGAAAATAGTTTTAATAAGGGAATTTTTCATATCTTATTGATTATGACATTCCAAAAGGTTTAATATACACAGATGATGGCGGTAAAAAAAGAATATAGAATCATAAAATTCTAATGCCTTTATTATTTTACTTATATATAAACTGATGAATTATCGTTT